ACTCTCATTTGCCAGGCAGTAGCAAAGCCAGGATTTCACTTTCTGAAATGCAGCTCCACATAACTTGTAATGTGGCAACTGGATTCCTTCATTTGTAGTTTCACAGTAGCTTTCATTCAAATCAACATCTCCAAACACTGTTTATGTTTCAGTAACAAGTAAGCACTTTGCTTTTATCATTACTACGTCACAAGTGGGTCAGCAGATGCGAAGTAATGTGATTTGTTGAATGTTGTAGGACAAATAGGTTATATGGACTAGGGGAGCGAAGTTTTAGACAAAATATATGAATACACCAATTAGGTTAGGGAATGGAGAAGAAAATACTCCTAAAGGTATTCAGCAAGGCAGCTTCAGAAGAATAACCCAGAGTCCTCAGCAAACAACCCCACTGTGCTGTCTGGCTTCTGCTCATCTGCTGGCTCTGAAATTGCTCGCGCAGCTTTGCTTTCACAGCCCAGTGTTACTCTGGCCTCATACACCTGGGAAAGCTTTTCATCCCCTGCAGTTGCAGACATGCCTACCACACACCATTTGGAGCAAAGATCAATCCTGTGTGATATGGTCAGGACTGCTTAGTCCTCTAGGCAAAGAGGGTATAATTAGGTGAGAAGTTTTCCCTAGCAAAGGTCACCCGACACCCTAATATAGCAAACAGATCACCTGCCCCCACACCTCCCCAGAACAGAGCCAAATCTCTAGGACATGTCTAGGCTACAACAGGAGTGTAAGTAAGCATTCAGCAATAGCCCTCATTTAGCATAAACCCTTGCATTTTGCCCTGTTTTGCATAAACAGATCACATTGTTACAACATATGGAGGCAGAAAAAGAACAGGAGATTGCCACCTCTCCTAGCAGCACCCTCTTGAGAGCTCTTCCATGGCAGCATCAAACTGTGGTGCTTTGCTAGTGAAACAGCAGCTGCAAACGTTCATTCGTGCTTGATATTCCCCCTTAAAACACAAAACAACCTATATCGACAGAAAGGAAGTCAAAACATTGTTATCAGGTTCACAAAGTGGTGCTACGAGCATGGTGTTCCAGCAGATACTTGTGCTCCTGAAGCCTAGGGCAGACGGATTATTGCTGGAGATGAAAGTAGCCTGATTTGGACTCACAGATCTGTTTTACAGTCCACAACAGTGTAAGAGGGTCTTGTGCGAAAGAGATTTAATGTTGGGCAACAGAGATACAGTTTCCTACAGTCCCTCTGCCTGTAAGCTGTGCTTGATAGCTTCAGTGTGATAAAGGATGTGTCATATTGCAGCCCAAGACCATCAGCTAATGAGATTCCAGACGCCTGGACAATATCTAAATTTAAGCATCCAGAATCTAAGTTGAACCAGTGCTAAATCCGTCATCT